TAATTCCCCTTCATTGTGAGGTTCAAGCTTACTATGGATGACTGATAAGGATTCATGGAGAAGAGTCTCTCACGGGATTCAAGATGAAATTCTGATTTCAGATTGTGGGGAACTGTCCAGTTGACATCTAAATCGATGGCCTTTCTGAGAGGGGTTATTTTAAAAATGTCATTTGGCAATTTTTCCTACTACCTGTTCTCCAGGGTGTGTAGGCGCCAGGCAAAAACTCTGTCACTGAGTCCTTTCCTCTGCCTGGAAAAGCACAGACAGATAAGCTGCCTCTCCAGAATCTTCCCCAACTTCTAATTTAGATGGCTTTAGTTTCAGAAGGCTAACTGGGATTATTGTTGCAAGAACTATTATAGAAAAAACATAGACCAAATCCCAAAACTAATAGAAAATAGATAGTCTGTTCCTATATATCCTGCTGTATAACAGTAGGAACTTACTCTTTTAATCTAACTCTGATTTGATACTCATTATCCAAAGTCCCTATCTCCTCTTACTTCACTCCTCCCAGCTTCTTATGACCATTACTCCATATTTATAATGAGAATTTTTTAGCTTTTAGATATGAGGGGGAGTATGTGGTATTTGCTTCTCTATGAATGGTTAGTTTCACCTAACATAATGATCTCTGTTCTATCAGCTTTCCTGCAAATGACAAGATTTTATTTTCAAATGACCAAATAATATTCCACTGTACATTTATACTGTATTTTTTCATCATGCACTTCTTGTGAGACACTTTGATTGAATCTGTATCTTGACTATTGCTAATGGCATTGTAATAAAACCATGATACAGGTGTTGGCTTCAAATAATTCTTTCATTTCTTTGGACACATACACAATTATGAAACTTCTGGATCCCATCAAATTCTGTTTCTAATTTTTAGAGAATGCTCATACTCTGAGCTCTGTTTGCAGCTCAGAAGTGACTTGAGAATTATAATTTTAATCTGTAACTTCCATACCATCACCAACATTGTCTCTATTTCTAATTTTTTCAATTTTCTAAAATAAATTTTTCATTTAAAAAATATTTATTTTTATTGGAAAGGCAGATATACAGAGAGAAGTAGAGACAGAGCTGAAGATCTTCCATCCAATGGTCACTCCCAAAGTGGCCGTAAGGGCTGTAGCTGAGCTGATTTGAAACCAGGAGCCAGGAGCTTCTTCTGGGTCTCCCACATGCGTGCAGGTCCCAAGCCTTGGGGACATCCTATACTGCTTTCCCAGGCCTCAAGCAGGCAGTTAGATTGGAAGTAGGGCTGCCGGAATTAGAACCAGTGCCATATGAGATCCAGGCGAGTTCAAGGCGAAGACTTTAGCCACTAAGCTGTCACAACGGGCCCTTCTTTTAATTTTTTTTCATAAAATATTTCTCTTATTAAGATGGATTAAGAACTCATGGGGCTGAACATGGAAAGGATGAAAATTCATTTATTTTTGATGACTCCAACCTAAATAGAAGCAAGGCAAACTGTCATTTCCATAACAAAATTGGGACCGTCACTAGAAGAAGAGCCCACAGAGTGAAGCTTCAATACTGGCTCTACAGAAATTGACAAATAGGTTGTTGAAACATCACTTTTTGAGTTTCAGTGTATTTATTCAGTATATCATGTGTCACAAGGCATCATGTTTACCTTTATAAAAACACAAGGAAATGGTGTATATTTATACCCCCTTTCCACATGGAGGTAGGATTAAAAGGATTAGATTCCCTGATCATGCTGTACTGAGAGTACACCACCAGATGGAGTTTGAATTAAACTCTTCCAAAACCCATTTGAAGATAACTAAAACGTTGAAAACCGTATTAACTTACATATTTTCCCATTATATCTGAGCAAGGGAATAATAGTATATCTTTATTTTACAGCTATAAAACATGCAAACAAAGCGAATCTTTAGTTCACAGTATAGATAAGTGGTCAAAAGTGCTTGAGTGTGGATTTGACTCAGGTCTGCTGTACTCTATAGTGAATTCTGACTCTCAGAGATGGTGTAGTGGAGTCATAGTGTGGCATCTCATATGTACTGGTTCATGTTCCAGGTACTCCATTTTAGATCTATCTTCCTGCTAATGGCCTGCAAAAGCAGTGGAAGGTGGCACAAATGTTTGTGACCCTGCAACCTCATGTCAGACCTGGAAACCGCTGATTCCTGGCTCCTGGTTTTGACTCAGCTTTGGCCATTGCAACCATGAGGGGAAGTGAACCAACAGATAATGGGGGATCTTTCTCATTTGCTCTTGCTCTACCTCTCTCTGTCTCTCTCTCTCTCTCTCTGTAGTTCTTTCAAGGGATTGAATAAATCTTTAAAATATTCTATAGTTGAGGCCGCTTGGGTGGGCGGAAGATCTTCTCTGTCTCTCCTCCTCTCTGTATATCTGACTTTCCAATAAAAATAAAATAAATCTTAAAAAAAAGCAAATATTTTGTGCTTAAACTGACCAAAACAACAGAATCATGGTGCAATTCTTTTTATATATTAGTAGTAAAATAGATTCCAATATAAAATATATTACAAGAATAAAATTTTAATGTATGGAACTTGGCTTATTTTCCCATAGAAAATCTAATCATTTCATCCTTTGATACTCCTATGCTGTTCCATTTTTTGGATACATAAAAATAATTTTCAAAAATTATGTGGCTTTCAGTAAATGCATGTGTTTGTTATTACGAGATTGTCATCATTTCCGAACACTTAGCTTATCAAGTAAGGGAATATATGTGTATTCTAACCTGTATGTTAGTGTGAATTTTGTATTTAACTGTCTGTATCTAAGACTAAACTACAGTGATTTAAGATGAAAGCTTCTAATCTAATTCAGTGATTGTTCAAGGCTTTTCCTCCTATTGGAGAATCATCTAAGAAATTTGGTTTACATTCCTTATTTTCCATATACTTCTTTAATTCCAGTATTCACAGCAACTGCAGAATTGCTATTCAATCTAAACCCGCATGAAGACTGCATTATAAACTAGAATATAGCAGTGCTTAATGTATTTTCTTATGCCTTTTGCTTGCTGAGTCTACCTGTATCAACGTAACTTAGGTTAGCAGCTTTTACTGCAGGTTCTTTCTGTGCAGTTGCTACACATGCTGACTGAAGTTGCATGACTGAGGGTAGGGTGGTGAGGGTGAGGTTCAGGCCAGCGAGGTGCTCAAGTATCAAAGGAAGCACTGGAGGTGCTGCACTGGCAGTAGGAGGGATGGAGAGCCAGGTGTGGGAGACATTGAATCCAGGGATATCTGGGAGGCTAGAGCAGAAGACATCTTGAGTGGCAATAGTCATCTCAGACATGACCTTGGTGTATGACTTCAGATTTAGAAACTGCTCAGGGAGAACTGGTGCTATAGAAATAGTCTCTTTCTTGGCTTAATTTTTTCTAAGTTCATTGTAAACAAGTATTCATAATTATTAAGTGTAACTAACACAAATTTGGGGATCCACAATTGTCCTTCCTTGGCTTGACTGTACAGATTGTTTCCACATAGCTTATTTCCCTTAACGACTGGCTTCTGACAGGTTGACTTGGCTCTAGCATTTCTTCCTTTTCAACTCCTCCATCACTGCGCTTTTGTATCAATAAAATATAATACATTTTTTAAAGTTACTAAGAAAATTTTTAATCTATATCCAGCTTTGATACTTTGTTTTTATTAGTAGATTATCAATATTATTGACAGTTCTGTGCAACATATTGTTTCTGGAGTCTGAATGGCAGGAATTGAAAGGGATAGCCTAAGAGTTAGCCCAAATATCACTTATCATTCATGGATATTCTCTGGACAAACACACATACTCACATACAGGTGAATAAAAGTGAAAAACTTTACTGAATGGGATCAGAGGAGGTAAGACAACCATCCTTATTACGAGCAACAGAAAATTAAACAATGATTTTAGACATTTCATAATGAAGTCCTCATTTCCTTTCCCCCACTGTATTACAATTTTAATGTAATTAAATTTGATATGATTAGCTCAGCAGTTTTTCACAATGCTTTATTTTGATCTGAGTTTTGGTATATGATTGTTTCGTGTTGTTGTTCCAATGTCAATAATAGTGTTTCCTCAACTTTCTCTCCTGTTTTATGAAGTTTGTCTTTCATTACTATAAATTGAAATTACATTAGAACCCATGCTTAATGAAATGTTTACATTTATATTTGCATTAATTATATGTAAAAAAAAACCAATGTAGGCATTCTTATATATTTATCAGAACTTTGAGTTTATAAAACAGAATCTTTGACTTTATTACATTTTAGGACAAAGCTGTAAAGAGCAAAGAACAGATCTAGTTTTTTGAATTAACTATTCTTAAAATATTTATTTATTTATTTTTTATTGGAAAGGCAGATTTACGGAGAGAACATCTTCCATCCACTAGTTCACTCACCAAGTAGCCACAATGGCCAGAGCAGAGCCTATCTGAAGCCAGGAACCAGGAGCTTCCTCCGAGTCTTCTGCATGGGTGCAGTGTCCCACAGCTTTGGGGCCATCCTATACTGCTTTCCCAGGCCATAAGCAGGGAGCTGGATGGGAAGTGGAGCAGCCAGAACATGAACTGGACCCATATGGTATCTCAGCATGTGTAAGGCAAAGATTTAGCCACTGAGCCATAGCACCAAGCCCTTGATTTAAATGCTGCTCTTTTCCCAAAGTCAAATAGCTAGTGAAGAGAAAAGTTTAATTTAAAAAATAGTTTTAGCTCTTCCAATTGCTAGCCAAGCCAAGGACTGGTACTGTCTCTTTGTCTACTTTGGAGGCTTTCTAAATTTTATTTTAAACTAATAATCTTTATTTTCCTGTATTTGGTGCTGTGATAGAAGCAGATTTTTAGAATTTTGAAAATCTTCTATACAGCACCTATTGCTTTATGCATTTATGCTACTCAGTTTTGATGGCGGTGGTATATATTCATATTACTTTAATATGAATATATTATTTGAATTATGATATGAATTAAATTTTATTCTTTAGTGCACTTTTCCCTGGAACAGGAGGCGAGCTATCCCTTGGCGAATCTGCTTAGTCTTTGCACTGTAAATGATGGGGTTCATCACAGGAGGTGCCAACAGATAGACATTGGCCATGATAACATGGACCAGTGGAGAGGCATGCTTTGCAAAGCGATGAGTCATTGATACACCAACCATGGGGACATAGAGGATCAGAACAGCCAGAATGTGGGTCAGACAGTTGTTGAGGGCACGGAATCTCTCAGTCCAAGTGGATGTGCTCAGGATATTTTTCAGGATGAGCATATAGGACAGCACAATGAGAAGAGGGTCCAGTACAATAATGAGCAGGACCAGAGCAAATCCATACCAGCTGTTGATACGGATGTCAGCACAGACCAGCCGAATCATATCCTGGTGGAGGCAATAGGAGTGAGAGAGAAGGTGGGAGTGGCAGAAAGGCAGGCGCTTGAGTAGGAAAAGGGAAGGAAGAACAGCCAGGACACAGCGGCAAACAATGGCTAGCCCAATTCTTCCAATGACTTCATTGGTCAGGATGGCAGCATAATGAAGGGGACGGCAGATAGCCACATAGCGATCAAAGGACATGGCCAGCAGGACAGACGATTCCATGAAGGAGAATCCGTGGAGGAAGAAGAACTGGGCAAAGCAGGCCTCAAAGCCAATTTTCCGAATGTTGAACCAGAAGAGCTGCATGACTGTGGGCAGGGTGGCGAGGGTGAGGCCCAGGTCAGTCAGTGCCAGCATGGAGAGAAACAGGTACATGGGTTGGTGGAGACCAGGCTGTGTGTGGATGACTGTGAGGATGGTGGTATTGCCCACGATGGAGATGGTGTAGAGGCAGAAGAAGGGGATGGAGATCCAGATGTGAGAGTCCTCAAATCCAGGGATTCCCGTGAGGATGAAGTGGAAGGGATCCTGAGTGGTGTTACTCACTTCAGACATATTTGGTGAATGCAAATCAGCCTCTGTCTGCTCTGCATTAAGAGTCGTTTAGCACACTACTGCCACTGTGCTGTTGCCTGTTAGGAAACAAAATGTGTTTGGCATTGATCTTTCTGACACCACTGAGCAACATTCCAGCCAGAAACCTAACAACTGTGAGATTGTCTTTCATAGATTTCTATTTAAAACAAGTTTGGCTGTTTTTGACTTCCGTACTGTCTGTTACACACTGTAGAGTGCTCTTCTGACTTTTGTATGCGTGTACATGTAGCTGTGTTGTTACATATATGTATTTACTCACTGAAACAGTTTTCGTTACTATTTCAAACATTTTTTAATCAACAAACCGAGAGAATTGTATTAGTTCACATTGTGCTACTGCTGAATGGAAATGGTATCAAAGGGGGAATTAACTGATGATGATGCCAGTGTTCTTATTTGAGCATTCTTTTTATGTAAAGCAATAGAGTAGGTCAGTTTGTGCATATTTAGTTTAATTTTCATGGAAACATTCTAAGAGAAATGATGATTAAGAAAATGCATGTAAGGTCAAGGACAGAGAGGAAGCCAATCAGAAGGTGTGTGAAGTTTTGACATACTAATGGTAGTTGAGAAGGTTATGATAATTTGGGCAAAAATTCAGGATGAGAACAGAAAGATGTTTACCATAGATTTCTAGGAAAGAGTAAAACTCAGCAGTTTAGTACGAGTGAAGGGAAAAAGTGCAAGCACTGTAAAGGACTGCGGAGAGGGAGAACAACAAAGAAAGTTAAAATCAGAAAACAAGCAGAAATAGAAACCAAAATCAGAGACGGAAGGGGCCATGATTTACTGCTGCTCTGACACTCCGGGAAAGGATCCTGAGAAACACCTATTGCATTCAGCGACATGAATGCTTGCAGGAAACATGTGGAAAGACATGTCAGCAGTAATGGAAAAGGAAGCCAAATTAAATTGCTCTAAAGAGTGAATGAAAATGAGATGTTGATTATACTGCTTCTATGGGATGAATACAGAATTCCAATAAAAAGTAAAATTTGATGTGATATATAGTATTTAACAGTAAAGCAAACATGTTAAGATGTTAAAAATCAAATCCGGGCTCCGGCACAGTAGCCCAGCAACTAAAGTCCTTGCCTTGAATGCACTGGAATCCCATATAGGCACTGGTTCTAATCCTGGCAGCCTCACTTCCCCTCCAGCTCCCTGCTTGTGGCATGGGAAAGCAGTCAAGTTTGGCCCAAAGCCTTGGGACCCTGCACCCGTGTGGGAGACCCGGAAGAGGCTGGTTCCTGGTTTCAGATTAGGTCACCTCTGGTCACTGCAGCCGCTTGGGGAGTGAATCAGCGTACAGAAGATCTTCTGCTCTCTGTATGCCTGACTTTCCAATAAAAATAAAATACATCTTTAAAAAGAATCAAATCTGCATGTATTCACTGAACTCTTTGCAAAGGTACGTATAATTTAAAAATAAAATATGACACTAATTCCCATCTAGGCTCAATGCAAGTTGAAAATACGCTTATAAAACCAGGAAATGATAACTTCTAGTTGGGAAATTCATAGGGAAGGAAGGAAGACATGTATAAATAAGAACAAGAGGAACACCACAAGTAAAGGCTGTTTCAGGACGGGACAGGATTCTGACTGTGTTTCGGTGCACTGGCAGGCAGCAGCAACATTTCACTACGTATTTGGCATAAATGGGAATGATGGCCCCTGAGCTACTCTATGCCTTTGCAGGGGCACCGTGATCTCGACAGATTTCCTACCTTACCCTGGTCACACTCTGTCCTGTCTCTATGGAGGTCACCTGTACTCACTCACCAGTACTCCCCTCTGGTTTCTGACCCTCCAAGGAGTGTTCCAGTCTTGACTGTGTGCTCTATGTTCTTGCCATGCTCTCTTCAGCTTTTGTGCTCTGCTCTGTGGTCAAGTGGGATTAGTGGCTCCCAAAGAGCCCAGATTGGAATGCGGGAGGCAGGTAGGGAAGCTTCCAGAAGGATCTTATGAGAATTTAAGGCTTGTGCTTGGGGACCTGAATCCCTCAGGGAGAGAATCCGTAAGACAGTTACTTATTCAGGAGAGGTGTCTGCACTGTAAGGGACAGTAGGGAGCTCTGCCAAAGCCCAGAAAGAACGTGCCTTGGTTCTGCATGGGAAGCTCATTCTGAAAATCAGTAATGAGAAGGTCTCTAGCAGCGAGAAGTTACCCTGGAGGACACAGGCAGAGGATGCTGCTCAAGAAGTGTGTCTTGCAGAGCTGACATTGGCAGGGACTGGAAATTCATTTTCACATGACTGAGGAAAAAATATTACTGATTTGGGTTTAAGTTAAAAGCCTAAAGTTATAAGTACAACAGTGGTTCCCAGAGGCTGGAGAGGAAAGGAAAGACACTGTTGACTGACAAGTATGAGATTATACCTAGACAGAAGAAGAGAGATCTGGGATTTCATTGTGCAGCAGTAGACTAACTAGAGATAATATTAATGAATTGTATACTTCTCTTTAAAAAACATAGGAGATTGGATTTTGGGTATTTATACCATAAAGAAATGTTAAGTGTTGGAAAAGATAAAAAATATTTACTAGGATTATATATTATGCAATGTTTACATGTACCAAAACAATACATAGTACCTCATAAATAGGTATAATTTTGTATATCTGTCAATTTTTTAAAAAGAGAATTTATTTATTTATGTATTTTTTAAAGGTTTATTTATTTATTGGAAAGTCAGATATACAGAGAGGAGGAGAGACAGAGAGGAAGATCTTCCGTCCGATGATTCACTCCCCAAGTGAGCACAACGGCCGATGCTATGCCAACCCGAAGCCAGGAGCCAGGAACTTCTTCCAGTCTCCCACATGGGTGCATATTCCCAAGGCTTTAGGCCGTCCTCGACTGCTTTCCCAGGCCACAAGCAGGGAGCTGGAGGGGAAGTGAGGCTGCCAGGATTAGAACCGGTGCCCATATGGGATCCCGGGGCATTCAAGGCGAGGACTTTTAGCCGCTAGGCCACGCCACCAGGCCCAAGATTTATTTATTTTGAAAGAGAGAGAATTGCTGTTTAGTTCCACAGGTGGCCATAGCAGCCAATGCTGGGTCAGGCTGCAGCCAGGAGCCGGGAGCTCCATCCAGGTTTCTCACATTGTTGGTAAGGGCCCAAGTGCTGGGACCATCCTCTGCAGCCCTTCCCAGGCCATCAGCAGAGAGCTGGTTTGGAAGTGGCCCAGCCACTATACTAACTAGTGCCAATATGGGGTAGAGTCACAGTAGGTGGCTTTACCCAGTACGCTAAAATGCAGCCAGCCCTCTCTACCCTATTCATCTGAAGATGTAAGTGAAAATGTGTTAAAAGAAAAATTTGTCAAAAAAAAGGTGTTCAAGGTGTTAAAGATAGCTTATTGAATTCATATTTTCTGTTCTCTTAAAATAAGTTGAGACAGCCTACATATAAAGGCTGATAAAACAAAACCTTAAGTCAGGAAGAAAATCTCTTGATTTCAGTAAGTATGAAGACACCTTCTAAAACTCACAGTAATAATAAATATAAGAGGTCTTCAAAAGGTTTATGGGAAGTACATATTATGAAAACACTGTATATAGATTTCATTTTTTTCTGCATCAAAAATGACAGTTTTTTGTTTTGAAAAAAAATCTTTTTCTCTTAGAAAAGATTTACTTATTTGTTTGCAAGTCAGAGTGAGGGAGAGATTTCTCATCCACTGGCGACGTAAAGGTTGTGACAGGTGACATGGAAAGGGCCTGGTCCATATTCTAGCACATCTTGCCCACCTACTCAATACTCTGATATAACTGCTTTGTAAAGACTGCATGTTCACGCAGAACTGTCTTTTAAGGTTGTTATGTCATGGATACAGACAAGCTCACAGACGACACAGCTTGAAGATGCTGGGAAATTATTTCAGATCTCTGAGCAGATTCAAGTCTCCAGCACCAATGCGGGAAGCCCAATTAAGCTCTCAGTTCCTGGCTTTGGCCTGGCCTAGCTCTGACCCTTGTTGTCAACTGAGGAGTGAACCAGCAGTGGAAGATTCCTCTCTGTCTCATCTTTCAATAACTCTGGCTTTCAAATAAATAAATAAATAAATCTTAAAAATGGAAATAGGGATAGAAGATAAATATCAAGGAGATAGATACAGATAGCTACTGATTATATCAAAAGGTGTTCATTCTAACTTAAAGTTGAAAGTAAAAATTTTTATCAAGTTGAGATACAGATTTTTATTCATCACACAGCCAAAATTCCTGAAATGCAAAGAAATAATGGTTGGCAGATAGATGAATGATAATATTGCACTTACCAAGTTATAAATATACAAACTTCTTTACCCAAAAATTCCATGTCTAGAAGTAGTTTATAAATACATTTACATCTGTGAAAATTAACAAGTATAAAATGTTTTTATTAAACATTGCTTGCAAGACCATACAAATGGAAACGAGCCAGTTATTCATAAAATATAAGCTAGCAAATAAATTCTGACAATTTAAAAAGATGTTTGAGCTCATAAAATATATGTGGTTTTACAAATAAATGGGCTTTAACATGTACTGAATTGCGATCTTATAGACATCTGTGTATGTCAAGTCAAAGAGGATGTGCACACTTTTCAACGAACAAGTACAAATGCGCACCAATTATTATGCATCAGTGTTTTCCTAAAAATAATATAATAATATATAATGTAACATATTACATATAATTAAAAATAACAAATGATGCCTAAATGTTTTTCTGAAAAATACAATAAGCTGAAAATATTTTGTCATGGAGAGAGAGGGAAGCCAGAGTAGTTGAAATATAGACTAAAAGTGAATATTTTCCATATATGTGTATACATATATGACCCAAATTTTTTGAAATGTTAGTCACATAAATATCTGACCTTGTCAATAATCCTTTATTAAAATGTGGACACAAAATTAGTCATTTTGATATGTAAATTGGAATAAAATGAAATAAATGATAACTCAGTCTGTTTTAAATTTGAACAACACGTAAAATGTTTTTAATAACTTTGGACTTTCTAAACTACATGTGTTAAAATTTACTGATAAGAGCATAGTTTATAACTCTGAAACAAAAAGAGATAATAGCAAGAATGACTTTTGACTCTAAATGTGACAAAACTCAGAAAAAGAAAACTGTCACTAAAATGTTAAAAAATAAATGAAACATTTTTTCAGATATTACTAATAACATAACTTAAATGCATGCTAGCAAATATAATGTATGACAAAACAATAGCAAATGAGAAATGTTTAAAAATTAACAGAAATTGAGAACTCTTACGATTGTGTAAATTGATTTTGCAGAGTATACAGGAGCAAAACCTAACTGATTAGAAAAGTAAGTATTTAAGAATCCTTACCACTGAGAATGCTAGTGTGGACTTCTGAATTGAAGATATCATGAATTTCAATGTAACTCACATGCAAAGATTCACTTCTCACTATCAGATAAGTAGGTAATTATTATTTTCTAAAATCAGAATTGCATTGTTATTAACAAATGTTATAATTGGCTTATAATATGTATAAATAAAATATGCCCACTGTATAGACATATGGCTGGATATTTATCACAAATAATTCTATTCCTTCAATTGTGATTAAACATTACTAAGAACCCAGTTATTAATTTTGGAAGGTATCCTCCATTCATTTAACAAAAAAGTATGGTATGCAATTATTGCTTACCTGGCATAATTTATATCAAGGGTTTTAACAATGTTTTCAAATCTTTTTTTTGTTTGTTTGTTTTGCTTTGTTTTTAAATATTTATTTATTTCTGTTAGAAAAAGATTTATGGAGAGAAGGAAAGCCAGAGAGAAAGTTCTTCTATTCCCTGGTTCGCCAAATGGCCACAACAGCTAGAACTGAGCTGATCTGAAGCCAGGAATCAGGAGCATCCTCTGAGTCTCCCACATGGGTGCAGGGTCCCAAGACTTTGGGCTGTGCTCCACTGCTTTCCTAGCCCCACAAACAGGGAGCTGGACTGGAAGTTGAGCATCTGGGATATGAACCAGCACTTATATGAGAAGCTGGCATTTACAGGCAGAGGATTAGCCAATCAAGCCGCTGTACTGGACCCTGCTTTCAAATCATTTAAAAAATACTTATTTATTTTTATTGATACGGCAGACCTATAGAGAGGAGAGACAAACAGAGAGATCCTCATATATGGTTATATGAGGATATATATGGTTTACTCCCCTACAACAGCCAGATCTGAGGCAATCTGATGCCGGGAACCAAGAGTGTTTTCTGGGTCTCCCACATGGGTTAGAACCAGTGCACATTTTGTCTGCCAGGGCTGCAGACTAAGCTACAGTGCCATGTGCTACAGGGACATGGCTCTGGCCCCTAAAGCATTTTAAATTCTCATAATTTATTTTATGTTTTGTTTGTTTCTTTTTTATTCTGTTAGTTACTAGAAAAAATGCAGTAAAATCTCTCACTGTCATTGTGGATTGACCTATTGATTTTTGTGGTTGTGATAATTATTTCCCGTGCATGTCAATCTTTTCAGACTTTTCATTTTATCAAGTATGAATTTTGAATCAGTAAATTTCAAAAAAATAAAAATGGCAATTCTACACTTATTTCTTTTAGCTTCCCTTCTTTGGAATTTGGTCTTTACATTTTCATAGTTTGAGATGTTCCCTGAAGTCTCTTAAAATATTTTTCTTATTTCTCTAATATTTGTTTGGAACATGATTTGAAATAAATCAATATTCCAATAAATAATGTTCAAAGATTTACAGTATTTTATGCATCACAGATTTCTAAAGATATCTTCCAACTCTCAGTTGCTTATATCTTTGGGAAATTTTTGAGTTTTCATAAACACTTCTCTTTTCCTGCATCTCTGCATCATCTTTGTAAAGTAATGAAAAAACCTCATGCCACCTGATATGTTTAAATACAACACGTTCTGAATACAGTTCTGTCACACACCATTCTCTGCCATTTGTCCAATTACTCCAGTTCACTTCCAGACTGCACAGAGCCTCTTGTTAGCTACCATGTTTGAGGCAGCATCAATTACATAATTTGCACATCAAGCCCAGCTATGTTTGTAGGAAACCAACCAACAGACTGAAATTTCCTTTCCTAATTTTGCCTTTGCCTAAACTCCAAATCTCTTTTCTGATAACATTCGTAAAATGCCATGACGGATCTCCTTGGTCTTAATGCTATACACAATGGGATTAACAACTGGTGGGAAGAAGAGGTAGGCATTGGCCATCATGACTTGGAGCAGAGGAGATACATGGTGCCCAAAGCGATGCACCATAGACAGGCCAATCATAGGTACATAATATGCGAGTACTGCACAGATGTGTGAACCACATGTGCCAAGTGCCTTCTTTCTCCCTTCTCCAGTGGCAATACCCAGTACAGTATGGAGGATGAGTCCATAGGATACTACAATGAGCAATGAATCCAACCCAAAAGTGGAGAGAACAATGAAAAGTCCATAGATATTGTTGATAGAAGTGTCCCCACAAGGTAGGTGGATGAGGTTGGGGTGGAGGCAATAAGAGTGGGCGAGGACATTATGGCCACAGAAGGGCAACCGTCGCAAGAGCATAGGCAATGGGGCCATGAGTAGAACACTTTTAAACCCGATGACAGTTCCTGTGCTAAAGATGCGGGGAAGTGTCAGGATTGTAGTATAGTGTAGTGGGCTGTAGATGGCCACAAAACGGTCCACCGACATGGCAAGCAACACAGCTGATTCCATGATAGAGAAAGAGTGGATGGAAAACATCTGGAAAAGGCATGCTTCAAAACTAATCTCAGTGGTACCAAAAAGAAATATACCCAGCACTGTAGGCAAAGTGGATGCAGAGACACCAACTTCAGCCAGTGCCAACATGGCAAGAAAGAGATACATGGGTTGATGTAGGGCAGGATCTGTTCTGATGACGTGAAGAATGGTGCCATTGCCAAGGAAGATGATGATGTATATCAGGCAGAAGGGAATGGATATCCAGACTTGCTCTGTCTCCAGCCCTGGGATGCCAGCCAAAACGAATGTTGTGGGTAAGAACTCCAGAGTGCTATTAAAGCATTTCATATTGAGATCTCATCCCATGGTACCAGTGCCACCTTGAAAAGTAGGGAAGGGAAAAACAATAAAATAACATCACTATGGGAAAATGTGACTTAATATTGAAGAAAGGGAAAAGAAAAATACACCAGTTCATATAGCCAAAGATTTCATATATGAAAACTGAAATAATATCAGGAAAATTCCAGTATGAAGGAGGTTATGGTCTCCACCTTTGGAAAGTTTTAGGCTTGCAGACCATCATGCATGTAAATTGCAGCACACTTTTTATTAGTTGAGCCAGAAATGACTTTCTTCTTTTGGAGAGTTGAAGCCTAATTCCAGAAAGCTGCCAGGGAAAAGCAGGTGTAGGTAATCTCAGCATACGGCTCGCATAATCTTGGAATTAGAAAAATAGATAATATAAGTATATGCACACACAGCACAGAATACCTGGTACATAAACAATAGTTAGAAAAAGTACTAGTGAGTGAGGAGAGGACTATGAATAACTGAGGTCCAGAACAGGGTTGACATGTGGCAGTAGACCCCCAAGGGGCGGGGGTCCAGCATGATGGCTCAACTGATGGATCCTCCACCTCCAAGCACTAGTATCCCATATGGACATCGGTTTGGGTTCCAGTTGCTCTTTTTCACATCTATCTCCCTGCTTGTTGCCTGGGAAAGCAGTTGAGGACGGCCCAAGACCTTGGGACCCTGTACCTGCGTGGGAGACCTGGAAGAGGCTCTGAGCTCCTGGCTTTGGATGGGCTTAGTTTTGGCCATTGTGGCCACTTGCGGAGTGAACCAGTTGGCAAAAGATCTTTCTCTCTGTCCCTCTTTCTCTCTGTAAACCTGCCTTTCCCATAACAAATAAATAAATCTTTAAAGAAAGAGAAATAAATGGTGGCAATGGGCAGAGCCTTAGGCAGGTGACAAGAGAGAAACACTAAAAAACATGGAGCATGCTGAGCTAACTATTCTGAGTTTTGCAAGGACTAGAAAGTGACTGGATGCTTTTCTACTTCCAAATCAAAGATAGACTCCCAATGAAACTGTTGGGTATATCTTGACAATAGATGCTGCACTCTCAGCCATTGTCTGTAACGGCAATATCAGAGCACTGAAACAGCTGAAGGATGGACTTATGACTGTTTGTGAAGAACTATATTGTAATAATAAGGGGGAAATCAGTGAGGGAAGAGATTTGGGCAGGGGGGAAGATGGAAAACCCCAGAGCCTATGGAATTGTATTATAAAATAAATAAATTTTCACAAAAAAGAGTGACTAAAGATTATGTGCAAATGACTAGATGATTCAGGAACAGGTGGGAACTTAGGTTGCTGGATTTGTGCGTAGACTAAGAGGTTCATGATAATATATACAATTCTGTCATGATAATATATAAAATTCTTCAGCATAGTTCTAAACACAGCTTACCTTACCCATTGGGATTTGCTTTAAATTCATGCACACTGATGCTACAACCCTGGAAGCCTGAATAATTTTTTGAGGAATGTTTTCCTGACAGCAAAGGAAGCCAACAGAGAGGAAGGGAAAATGACCTGCTTAGATTGAATGTGTTTTGAGCCGCAGCGTGGTTTAGGACAACATGGTTATAGCATCATGTTGAATGAGATCAACCAGACACAAAAACTCTAATATCACATATTTCCCCTATATGTGGGCGTTTGAATTGCTTCTGGAAGCTGCTGTAGGAGGTAGGGAAGGCGGATGAAGGGCTTGAGTGCTCACCACAAGTGGAACTGATCTCTGAGGACGAGGTGGGACTGGAGAGGTTCTCTTCAGTAGGTCCCTGCCACCTTAGCATTGGTGTCTTCCTGGTCCTATGGTTTCAGCGATGTTTTTGTTATATAGAAGCCCTGGGAGTGGAGAAATGAGGAAGAAGTTAGCTCCCCAGAGGAGCTATGATTATACTGCTGTTTCCCAAGATTCAGATCCCTGTGGGAAATAAGAAAGGATAGTGCTGTTGTGAAAATGAAAAAAAAAATCAACATTTAGCTGGTATGATAATTAAATAATTAAAATCCATAAATTTTTAGAAAGATTCTCCTTACATAAAATATACTATAGAGATGGTCTAGTATATCTCTTTCTGGATAGTTGTGTCTAGGAGACATGGTATGGTGACCTAACATGATGATCAAGTATCATGCATGGACATGTATTTATTAAGTAAGGATGACACCTGGAATTGTTGATACCCAGAGAATTTCAACGGGTGCTCTGTATCAGGAGATGTCATAATCTAATGGATTAAGCTCTCAAGAGATAAAGTTCAGAACAGAATTCATCAGAAAACTGAGAGACCAAAGTATCCTGGCATCCTTGTATGTGGTAGCTAGAGAGTGTCTAGACATCTCAGAACTCAGTATTAAAAAGGGTTTAATGTGATGACCAATGAGTTTAACTATTTGTAGACAGCTGCTACATCGACTAATTGTCTGATAGGAAAGAGAGGAAAATGACAGAATTTCTGTTGTTAAAAAGTTCTATTTTTAGAACTATCTAAAATTGTCTAGAAATTGCTCTTTTTCTGCTTTGACTTAATAAGACAGAGGAGGGTTTACATAGCTGATAGGAGGATGCTTTAAATGATAGCTTATACAAGCTAGATTAGATCCAGATATGCCCCCACTGAAGTCTTATACTGAGATGTAGGACAGAAACGGAATGGAGAAGACAATGACGAAGCAGCGTGGAGACAATCATGGAGGGGAGAGAGGAGCACCCTCAGTAACATGAAGATACTCCCATGTGTGCAAAACTGGTGAAAATAACATTTTTAAAACTATGCTGTTCAGAAGAAAGGAATTTATACCTAAGTGCTGATTTGAATTAGTCCTCAATATCTTTTGAAGAAGATCATTGCATCACTTAAGCCAGGGGAATTAAACATTGCATGTGCGTGTATATGTATGTATGTATACATGTATGTACATTTAGATTTAAAATCTTTCTTTATGATCTATTAAACTCTATAGGATAAGCATGATATATTTCACGGGGCTGTAAGACTGGGTAAAATATTTCATTGAGACCTTTGCAACTTGACGTTAACCTTGTACATTGTCCTCCTACTTTCAAACTTCCTTGCAAATGTGCTCTCTTAACTCACGTATCACACCTAAAATAGTACCATAGTTTTCCATATATGATTAAGAATAAAACACGTACTGTGTACTTTCTAAAGTCTTCAAATGCCACTGGGATGTTTAACCTAAACATAAGTACTGGCACTAGGATGAGATTTACATCAGGACAATCAGTATTTTATTGAGAAGCTGAAGGATTTAGTATTTTCCTGAATGTCCTTAGATTTGGAGATTATATTTATACTGTAGATGAGAAGAAGAACATGAATAAAGTTCTTTGCTAGTACAGAAAAAAAAGAGGAAAGGCAAAGTAATGTACACTGTCTCATCATTTTGGGTTAACACATGTAATAGGTGAAGGGCAAGATGAATATAAGTACAAGAAATGTAGATCTGTGCCTATTCACCTAATAATCCACTTATCCATTCATGAAATATTTATTAAACATCTGCTGTCTTCCAGACACTGCAGAGCTCATGCAGTCTATAGTAAGCACAGAAGACATGCTCATCCCTTGTTGTCTTTGAAATATATTTGGACATATCGACATTTAAAGAAGAGTGTACAGGTAATTAATTGGCTAAACTTGTGTTGCATGACATGAGAGAGAAGAACAGTAGAATGAAAAATAAATACAAATACAGGCAGAGCACGCATTTAAATGAACGTGGGTCAGCTGAGTCTTGAGAGTCATGGAGGGTGTTCTAAAGCAGGACACTGGTAAATTAAGCCCCGCCCCCAATCCGAAGAAAATAAAGCTCTCAGGTGATTTGTCCCTCACCTCTTATTCTACTAAATATAAGATTTTTATGTTGCAGTGCTTTTAATTTAGCACAACTCCTTTTGAAGCCTCACTTCTCTGTCATGAAAAAACTTGCCTTCTCTACTCTCTACTTGAGCTCTTTAGAGGCTCCAGCATTAAGTCCTTTCTACAATGTCAGAAGTAGGAATTAGTGTGCTCCCCCAAACCAGCTTTCCTTTGGAAGTAGGTATACACATTTCTGATTTCCAGAATACCCATTCTGGGCTTATTCTCAATACATGAATATATTGTCTGCTAAGGGGCTTTGTTCCTAATTGTTCCAAGATCTCAGCAGGTTTCAGGATGATTAATATAGTTTAAAAACTTCTGAAAATTAAATTTAAAGATAAATTTGGTTGTGGCATTTAGCATGGTAAAGATGCCTCTTTGGATGCCCATCTGCTCCACAGAGTGCTTGGGTCTGAGTTACAGCTCCACCACTGAGCCTAACTTCTTGATTCTGTGTAACCTGAAAAACAGTGGTGACTCAAGTTGGGTCCCTGCCAGTCAACTTGCTGTAGCTTCTGGCTGCTGGCTTAGGCCTGACCCTGTCTTGAATTTTGTGAGCATTTGGAAAAACACCAACAGACAGGCTATCTCTGACTCTCTCTTTGCCTTTCAAATATATAACTAATGTGTATGAGCAAGCAGCAGAGGGTGAACAATCAAGATTAAAAGGATCTTTTATTCAAAACCAATCTGACACTCTGTGTATCTTTTCCATATTAGGATGTATATACCCATTCCTTTTTCATGTAGCTTTTCCATTCCTCAACTCAGCATGTCAGTAGTCTAAACAATTCTCATTTGGGCCTGGTGCGATAGTGTAGTGGTTAAGGTCTTCACTTTGCTTGCACTGGGATCCCATATGGTCACCGGTTCTAATCCTGGCAGCCCCGCTTCCCATCCAGCTCCCTGCTTGTTGCCTGGGGAAACAACAGAGGACGGCCTAAAGCCTTGGGACCCTGCACCTGCGTGGGAGACCCGGAAGAGTTCGTGGCTTCTGGCTTCAGATTGGCTCAGCTCCAGTCATTGCGCTCACTTGGGGAGTGAATCATTGGACAGAAGATCTTCTTCTCTGTCTCTCCTCTTGTCTGTATATCTGACTTTGCAATAAAAATAAATAAATCTTTAAAAAAAATTCTCTTTTTCTCATATTATAGGAAATAGTGGTTCTTGCTGACATGAAGCTGGTTTTGTTCCTGGTGAAAACAATAAGCAACGAGAAAACAGCCCATGGCAACACCAGCTGAATTTCAAGAGGTTCAATGAGGGTGCAGCAGTAGTGGCAGTATGCTGTACACCCAGCATAATCCTACCTAATGCCACACAGGGTTCTGTGTACACAGGTGGGAGTCGAATGGCCACTGGACAGAGCCATAGCAAGGAGTATGTCTCATCCATGAAAGAGAAGCAATCAATTTCTTTTACAGAATGTAGAGTGCCAGGTCCACTACCCATGACATCAAGCCACAACACTCCCAAATGGAAGTCTGAGGACATATATAGGCCTAAATGCAACATAACCTTGATAACCAGGAAATATTACATGAGCTATGGGGAAAGAAGGTTTCATTCACAGCAGATACAGGGTAGTGCCATTATTCAAGGGGGCCACAAGGTATTCTGCAAAAATAGACAATCCTACACAATAATGGACCCATTCCATGCCTGGCAAGCCAGTCAGCAAGAACAGAGAGTAACTAAGGTTGGCACTTGATAGAATGGGCATCTGAATTCCAAAAGAAAGGTCTCTTCACTGGGCACAGATGTCAATGTGTTGAAGGTTACATAGGCCATTCACTATGAATTTCCCAACAACACTTGACACTGATTTCTGGATCTGAAGGCCTCTTAATTAACCATTGCCCTCAAAAGAAGCCTGAACTCTGTCCCTGCTTACTCTGTCATTTTATTTCACTTAATCTTCTCCTCAACTTAATGACGTTAAATGTCAGCAAAGTATTTTGAGTTAGTCTCAGAAAAATTAATATAGCACAATCTTAGAATGTCCAATTCATAAACATTCTGGTCCTATTCAATCATTGCATTTTAAAAATTCAGGTTTTTAATTTCACATAGAAGTTATTCTTCCAATTAAATTAAGCATGCTTGTTGAGGCTTTTTGCTTGCAATTTCCTCGTCATTTTGTTGTCATTATGTGCCCCTCTCTGCATGTTCACATGCTTGTGCACAATGAAAGCGTATTTTAACAGAAATACGTGTTGTGAGCTGCAGTAAAGGTAGGATCTCTAAAGAAATAAACTGTACAAGCTAGACTGGAGGAACCTGCAGATGCCACCCATGGGGCCTGGGGAGATGCCTGAGGTCTGAGTTACTGGGTGCTAAGTGTCACGTGTGCCTGGAGGGGCCAAAGAAGAGAAAACCCTTTCTTCTGATCATGTTGTGCTACCAGATTTTAAATTTTTTCTAAGTTATTAGTTTAAGGGTGACTGTGTCACTCATTTTTCTTGATATTTAATACAGGTGAACATGTTTTCAGGTTTATCAGAATATTTGTTCTACTGTTTTGTGCATTGCCATTGCCTGTTCATATATTTGCCTAATATCTTATTAGATTCTATTTTTTATCCTCTTAATTGTAGATTCTTTTTTATCTATTCTGGACATGAAATCTAAGTGCTTCCATAAAAGTACATTACAGATAACATTTCCTTGCCAGTTGTTTGCATTGCTTCCTTATTTGTCCATCCTTCTGCTATTTAAGTGCATCACGGCCTTGTAGGTACAGACAATGGTAGAAATTTTGTTGTCCTTCCATAAGCATTTATGATGCTCAGTGAGGATTCTGAATAGAATTGATTTATATATTTACTTTGTAATAGCTGGTAAATTAAAAAAACAGAAAAATCATATTCAGTAAAGTGTTTCATTTTGCATATAGGTCTATAATTTTATGTCCATAGTGTTATTGTCACAAACATCTTGAACATTTATTAATTTGATTTATTCTAGGTAATTTATAGTTTTGTTGAATTTTGCACCTGCTTTATACGAGTTTCTTGATAATAAAAATGATCTGTTGGAAGCCATAGGAGGTAGAACATAGTATTTGTCTGCCACCAGATGTCACAAAAATAGAAGTCAGCATGATGTCAGATTCTAGAAGATCAGAAACTCATAGATCAAGAACTAGACAATAACTCGGGAAGTTCAGCAGCTACATGATGCTCTTAACCTACCAGGTATCTTCTTCAAGGTACGGGAGTCTCCTTTGTTACCTGATGAAGCATGTGGGTTGATACAGCAACACTGAGCTGCAGACTTTTGTGGGGAAGCTGCCTGTGCCCTCCCGCTTTATACCACTACGTGCATGTTTTCCAGATGCTTGGCTCTGGGTCATCACTGATCATGTCTCCTCTTGTTTTACCCAGTATATTAAAACAAACAAACAAACAAACGCATTAGAACCCAAACAACCTAAACCTGTGTACCTCCTGAAAAAGCATTCTCTGGTTATATATCACCTTAAAAAAGAAGAGGAATGAAAGGGCAGTGTGGGATGGTGGGATACAGAATGTCTAACCAGAGTCAGAGGACCATGTCTCCTGTAGATGTGAGGATATATCTAGGGAGAACATGTCTGTATTCCTCAACTTTTTGTCACAAAGAGATGAATTGATTTAGCAGACTCAGCAAGTTTGCTGTTGGACTTTCATCAGGCAGGAGCAGGTGGGGTACTGCATTGTATATAATCTCTTCCATGTTCCAAATATAAGAAGAGCAACTTTCAGAAGCTACGATCCAGTTACTGTGATTTTAAGCTGAGGTGGAGTGGATGGGAGAAGTCACAGGAAATTCATCGGGACTTCTGTTTTGATAGATGCCAACAAAGACGAGACTTCAAGATCTCCCTTAAATAAAACAGGTTTTCTCTCTGTGTTCTGAATCTCACGTCATGCTTTTATCTATCTGGGAATGAAATTTACAACTTGTGCCAGACATTGAGTTTATAGCCTGTAAATTTACTGGTAAGGGAGACAAGCATAGTTCCTTCATGCATCTTGATTTAGTTTTCTATTGTGATAGACATACATAGACACCCACACACAGTGTATTACCGTGTGATAAATGTTACAATGGGAAATGCAGGGCTCCAAGGGAACGGGCATATAGGGCACCTGCTACTTTGGGAGTGAAAATGTCTGTGAGAAAGTAATCTGAAACTGAGACTAACATGCATTGATTTAGTCAATGATGTGAATGATCTAATTAGATCCATGTCCTCAGAAGCAGAGGAATTATGTCTTAGACACTTTTGTGGTAGTGTGTTCATTGAAATTTATCAGACTATATGTCATTTTTTAATATCACACAATGAAAGCACCTAGAAGTAAACACTGACTTTGGATTAGTACGGGACTTGAGCTTGTGTGACACAGGAGTCCTCGGGAAAGATAAAGTCAGAATTGAGAAGAATCTGAGGTAGAGTGAAGGGCTTTTTTTAGGGCAACAGGGATAGGGGATATATATTTAGAAAATGCTAGGGAAGTTTTGTCTGAACTAGGCACTGAGAAAGTGTACATACATTCTGATGAACCTCAGGGGTTAGGTAGACACTGCTCAGCTAGAATAGAAGAGACCAAGACCCTGGCCAGCGGAGAAGATAAAATCAACCCAAAAAGCCTTGAAGGAATTTGTAGAATTAGAACTAATGACACTTACTTGGTATCCATCTGGCTCTGTTTTCAGAGCTGTGCTATGTATTATTCTTTTTCAATTTTTGTTTAGTTTTATTTCAGTTTTAGTATTTGTACATTGTTGATGACTTTTGTAACAGTCTTTTGGATAGCATTAGATACCATCAAAAAGTAAGACTTCAGATGAAGAAGGAGTTATTATAACTTAAGAAAGAGAAGATCACTGATATTAAGCCATGGCACAAGAAACAAAATGAACCATACTTCAGTCATGATAGAAGAAAAAACATATACTCAGGGCTAGAAATAGTTTACCTGTTTCTTATGGGTACTCAGTGACAGATTTAGCATTAGAATTCAGCCCTGGTCTCTCTCAGGCCAAGGAGATTGGTGATGATTCTGCGGATCTCCTTGGTTTTAATACTGTAAATAATTGGATTGAGCATGGGAGGCACAAAGAGGTAGATGTTGGCCATGAGAAGATGAACAGCGGGAGGGGCATTCTTCCCAAAGCGGTGTACCAGGGACAACCCCATCATAGGCACAAAAAATACCAACACAGCACAGAGATGTGAAGTACATGTTTGGAAGGCTCGGAGTTGCTCCTCCCGGGAAGCCAGTCCTGCAACTGTGTGTAGGATGAGTCCATAGGACAGTGCAATGAGCACTAGGTCGAGCATCACAGTGAAGACCACCAGGGTCAGCCCATACAGGTTGTTGAAGGTGGTATCCGTGCAGGCCAGGTGTATCACTTCTTGGTGTAGGCAAAAGGAGTGGGAGAGCACAAGAGGCCCACAGTAGGGAAAGAGCTTCAGGAGGAGGACAATAGGGACAAGGGCCATTGGTCCTCGGAGGATGACAAGTAAGCCTGCCCTGATTATTCTCTGGCCAGTGACAATAACCGAGTATCTCAGGGGATAACAAACAGCCACAAACCGATCAAACGACATTACTAAAAGCACCGAGGACTCCATGAAGGAAAATGAGTGGATACAGAACATCTGGATTTGGCAGGCTTCAAAGTAGATACTATGGGATTTGAACCAAAAAATCCCCATTGTGGTAGGCAAGGTGGATACTGAGAGCCCCAGATCAGTAAGAGCCAGCAAGGAGAGTAGATAGTACATGGGGGTGTGAAGACGAGCATTGCTCTTAATAATTATCAAAATAAAACAATTTCCTGAGATGGCCAAAAGGTACATAGAGAAAAAGGGAATGAAGATCCAGTGTTCAATGGCTTTCAGGCCTGGAAATCCAGTGAGGTAGAATATGGGGCTAAACTGAGTAATGTTGGACAGGAACATGAACTGAGGCTTAAGATAGTATTGAGCTGGCATTCCACAGGGTCTGACCTGAAAAAAATAAGATATTTCTGGTTATTAATTCACATTCACATAGTCATAGACAATAACATGAACACCATAACCTTCAGCATCATTTGGCCCACTTTGTCCATCATGTCTACTGAAATCTTCTCGGATGCTCTCCTTTCCGATGTCTAGTGTTTCATTTCCTTCTGAGTCCTCGTTGCTGGTTTCTATTCATTGTACATCCCTTAAGTATAGATGTTTCCATCCTTAGTATGCTACTGATATTAATATACTGTTTCTCAGGTAGTTTTTCAGGCAAGGTCATCTCTGATTTCACTTTTCATGCATGTATAGATAAATGCTAAGTTTATACCTTAAAAATGTCTCCATCGCTTTTGATTTTCAAACCTGTATATTGAGCATCTGTACTGTGATGTTTCACAGTTATCTCAAAGACATGTGGAAAACTTAACTTACCATCTTTTCCCCTTACAACATTCTCACTCACTTGTATTTAATATCTCAGTGGCCTATTAAGTTTTATGTTTTACTCCCCTGTATTACATGTCTTAATAATCTGATCAACAACTAACTCCTGGTATTTCTGTCTTCAATAATTGATTATTTGCCATCATCTTTATTAATTTTGTCCTATTTACACTATTACATTTTTCTAGGTTATCTCAACAAATTGTAGTTCGCACTATTCTGTTGATTCACTGCACTATAGCAAGGAATGTTCTTACAGAAGTTTTAAAATGACATTTGAATTCCTGACTTATCTATTTTCCTATTGAATATTCTTTTCTATCCAAACTTTTTGCTTTGTGTCTTTGAAATGCATGATTATTGACTATTGTTTTAAGCCCTTACACACTTGTGGAGCTGGAGCTGTGGTTTTTCTACTTTTTATTCGTTGAACATTTTGGCTAATGGTGAATTAAGCTTGTGATTACAGAGTGAATTGAAATTATGCATTTGTAAAAGTTCAAAAATGCAAAAAAGAGAAAAAGAAAGGAAAGAGGGGAGTTGAAGGTAGAAGATAAAAAGGGAGAAAAATAAGATTGTTTCAGAATTGTATTTTTTTAAATACATGAACTATTTTCTCCTTATATTAATACAATTTAAAGATAAATGAATTATTCTCAGTTTCTCTGGTATTCCTGCTCATATCTGAACACTAATATTTTAATTTTCTGGGTTGAAAATAACTCTTCCTACCATAGCTTTCCTTAACTCCTTGTTTAGTTGACTCCTATTCACAAAACTACGATAGCTTGGGCATGACAGGGGATTTTCTGGAGCAAAGCCACCAGTTAGACTGCTGACTGCCAGAAAATGGGTTTCTTTCTTCCTTCTCTCTGTGTTAGAAAAACCACAGCTCCAGCAGAGAGAACTGAGAACAGAGTCAGGCTGGCAAGATTGAGAGTAATGTCTTCTCTGCCATGTTTACTGGTCTTGCTCATAAAATGAACCTAACATGTGTGTTGGATGAACAAATGATTGTTGGTAAAAGGAAAAAGCTAAGTATGTACCACAGGACTCAGCATGGAGGAATCCGTGGAGAACTGGGGAGTTCTGATGCCAGAGGGAAGTTTATATTTACACATGATCCAGAAAGGGCCCAGCCAGCTGTTCAGGCACTGGGATGGAAGAGCAGGGAAGACTTTCTTCCAATTTGCAAGGTAGAATACCAAACATGATGTCTCCATTTCTCTAGGAAGATCTTGTCTTATTCTCTAATCCTTACTCTAACCCTGCTTTGGGGAATAGAGTCTGAGAGTAACAAAGAATAAATGATTCTGTGAATATCTAGATTTTCCAAGATCTCACTTTTCAAATGAAAACCAAGCCAAATCCAAAACAAAAACCTCAAGCCCGGTGTGGTGGATACATTTGCCTGAGGTCACTCACGTATTTAAATAAGAACCAAGATTAGAATCAGACCATGCTTACTGATCTTTTGGGACACTTAGACATCCCCTGCTGTACGTATTTTCTCATGTGCACTCTTGTTACTCATCCCCTGAACCTCCAGTGCAAGACAGCAGTGCAGACTCACCAGCAGTTGGCTAAATCTAAAG